CAGGGCTGGATCCTTACCCTGAGGGCCTCACACTGGGGGGATGCACGGCTGGGACGCGCTTGCAGCCCCCGCTGATCGCCCCCGTGTTTACACCCCAGGCCCCTCGTGGCACAGATCGTGGCACCAGCTGGGGCAGCTCCTGTTTTCCGGACTTGAGTTGTGGTTTTGCACACAGCCACGGAAATGGGGAGGATTCCCCCAAAGTGGGAGCTGCAGCCGCGGGGAAATCGGTGTGGTCCCACTGCCTGGTCCCTCCCAGGGTGGGGGAACCGATGGTTTCCCCAGTCCTCCGGCCGAAATGCTTCGAGTCCTTTCAAAGCTGAGAACTGAAAAATCTCATTTCTGAGATGTCAAAAACTTTTGGCTCCTGTAGATTTTTATTTCTCCCCAGCAGCAGGAGGGAAGTGATGAATTCAGCACAAATTTGCGACGTTCAGTAACTTCCACCTGCATTCCTGGAGCCAGGTTCATCTCTGGCACGTTGCAGCGTGTCCATCCACCCACCGCTCTCCAGACGACTGGATCTCCAGACAGCTGGACGGATGCTGCCAGCCCAAAGCACACACGTGAAAGCCCTTTGCAAGGGGCTCACCTGGCTGGGGCTGCCCTGAAATCCCGTCAGTCCTGGGCTGGGCTGGTCCCCGTGGCTGGCACTGCTCGGGGCTTGTTACCCGATGCTTTACCAGGAGGGAAACTGAGTCACGGGGGGGACGTTCCTTGTGCCCAGTGGAGTCCCTGTGGGTGGCATTAACCCGAGTGTGCCTGGCTCAGCACCCACCTGGCCACCTCGCTGGCGGGTTGCTCAGGCTCGTTAGCAACTGCTAATCCATGCAGGGGGCTGAGCAGGCTCCAGCAAGCCCCGCTGGCGGGAGGGCTGCCGGGGTCCCCTGTGCCCCGCTGCGTGCGAGATGCCAGTTTGGATTTCCCCCCACCTATGCCCAAGCAGATGCTCATTTGCCTGTGGAGAGGAGCAGATGGCTGCTCCGAAATGCCTCCTCGGAGCTGGAGCCCTGAGCAGGAGGGTCCCGACGCAGGGGAGGGAGGAACGGGGAGGGCCGTGCCCGCAGTGAGCCCGGCCATTGCCCGAAGGGTGCCGGGGCCCGGGAGCATCAGCACGGTGGAAATCCAGCACTCGGATGCCCAAAATGTGAGCGCGAGCTGGGAAAGGCCTGAGGCTGGGAGCAGAGCTTGCAGCTTTTTCTGAAGGGAAGCCCAGGGAGGGGGGCTTGGTGCAGACGCCATGGCCGGCTCCTGACGCCAGACGTGAGCTGGCTCCCGCGCTCCCTCGGCGGGCTGGCAGCTGGGCTGGGGTCGGGGGACCGCGGGGATGACCGCTTATGGCCGCTTCCCTGCTCCCGGCCTCCCAGGGCCGGGTTACTGGGGAGGAGCAGCCGTGGTACCCACGCTCCGGTGAGAGGCATCCCTGTGCTTCGGGGAAGGGGATGCTGGGGGTCCAGCCGGGCTGCGTGCGGGGATGGGGACAGCGGGGAGGTGGTGGGACCCTGACGGGTAGGAGGGATGCAGGAATGTCACCGGGCTCGTCCCGCTGTGGTCAGGCCAGGCCTTCCTGGAGAGCCAGAAAATCCAGCCCTGGCTCCCTGATGGGGCTCCGGTGAGTGATGCTGGGGAGAGGCCAAACCCCGGGCTGCGTGGCCGGGCGCTGGGGAGGCGAGGGGAGCAGCCCGCAGCTCGTCCTTTGGGTTTCCCCGTGGCTGGGCACGCTTGGGAATGACAGCGGGTGTTTAAGCGTTTGCCAAAATTATT